GTTGTGGCCTCTCCCGTTGCGGAGCACAGGCTCCGGACGCACAGGCTCCGGACGCACAGGCTCAGCGGCCATGGCTCTCGGGCCCAGCTGCTCCACGGCATGTGGGATCTTCCCAGACCGGGTCACGAACCTGTGTCCCCTGCATTGACAGGGGGACTCGCAACCACTGCACCACCAGGGAAGCCCTTACTTCCCATTTTACAGTTCCCTTATTGTTCCACTCAGATTGTCCCCAGCAGATAATTAACTTTTGAATTCTGCTGCTTGCTACAGAGCACTACAATTCTTACCCAAGAGCAATCCGTCCTTTCTAAGGACTGCCCTGCGTCATCTCCAGCTTGGATTTTCTTTGTGCTTTTTGCATTTTCATTAATACAAAAACACAATATAGCACTGTCACTTGGAAGGGGAAAAAAAGGTATTCAGAAGCCGAAAAAGTGAGGGGGGTCTCAGAGAAGACACGGCTACGTCCTGACCCTTCACGATAACTTCATAAAATGAGACACTTCATGTTTAGAAAGGCTCTTCCCTTATCTGTCCTGCAGAGGGCGACACGTGCCCTCCTTTTCCCAGATGATGATGAAACACACATGCCCTGGAGTCTCCCTCACGGTCTCTGCCCATTCTTTCAACTCATATAGGCTCACACTTTTTCTAGGGCCCTAAAGCAAGTGTGCTTGCTAGGAGCACACTCTGCATTCACTCTCAACTAGGTCATCACTTTTTGTTTGTTTGTTTGTTTTTGGCAAAATACACAGAAAATACACATAGAATTTACCATTTTAACCACTTTTAAGTGTGCAGTTCAGTGGTATTAAGCCCATCGACACTGTCATACTGGGTTCTCTCCTATGGTGTTTAGAGCATTTTAATGCTGAGAAAAGTCATGAAAAACTCAAAGCTCTGGCACTAATTGTCCTCGGGCAAATCACTTAATCCTTCTGTTTCCTTATCTGTGAAATAGCAATCGCACCTACATTGTGGAGTTCCTGTGAGGATGAAATGACAAGCATACCTGTAAGGCCTCAGTGTAGAGTTCTGGCAGGTGGCATATGTTACATATTACATTAGTCACCTCAAGCCAAACACGTAAAATTGGAATCGTTTCCAAACCCTATAGAGTAATCACACTAATTCACACTATGCTGTCCTTTCAAATAACACATAAAAGTTTCTTTAAAAACATATTAAAAGATAATTCAATAAGAATTATGGAAGGAGTTCTACTTGATTCATTTCCTCTATTTAAGTTAGCAAGTTGCCATTGTTATGCATTCTATTTCTAGGAGATCTCCTAATTCTGCATATTTTATTTGCCTGCGGTTTGCTTCCTCTCTGTCCAATACACTCTGTTCTCAAACTTCAGTGTAAGTAAAAATCATCCAGGAAGTGTGTTGGAGTGTAGATTCCCAGGCCCCCTGAGATTCCAGTTCCATAGGTTGGGAGCCCAGGAACATGCATTTTATGGAGCATCAAGGTGGTCTGGGGATCACACTTGGAGAAACACTCCCATCGTGTCAATAAACATTTGTGTTTAGACTCAGGAGGGTCCTTAATTTAGTCACTATGCACCATGAGTATATGTTCTAGTTTTAATACATTTTTTTCAGGCACTGTTTTACAAACTCTACATTTCCACATAAAAGTGCTAAATACTTTGACTGTGGCAGTGGTCACGCCTGACACAATCCACAAACAGATGTTCCAAAGAGGTAATCACGGGAGAGGGCGAGGGTCCTGCTTCCCTGAGTCGGGAGCTGCTGGAATTCGAGTAGGTTTAGTCTCTCTGCCCTTGAACTTCACTGACCTTCAGTTTCAGGGGTAGTGTGGTGTGGTGGTAAGGGCACACACATCATACACACTCAGCCCCTGGTATTCATTCAGGGTGCCCTAGCTATTTAACCTTGCTGAGCCTCGGTTTCCTAACCTGTAAAATGGGGGTACTGTCACTTACCTCACAGACTTGCTGTTAGGATTGGGGGTGATGTTTGCAAAGCACCTGGCTGAGGATCTGGCATGTAATAGGTACTCCCCCCAAATCGTGAGTGCTTCTAAACTGTGGTCTGTCTTTCTTTTGCTAAGCTGGTTCTCTTTCCAGAAATGCCCTTTCTGCTTCTCTCTGTCCTTAGAAGTTGCCAAGTAGCAAACTTTATGTTGTGATTGACCCACGTGGTTTTTAAAAATTAAAATTAGTTGCCAACACTTACAAAAATCCAGATTTCATGCTTCTCTGGATAAGCCAGAATCTCTAGTCCTCAAGGCCTTGGGATCCTACATGGTGATCAAAGGCCTGGGACATGGGACATGGGCTCTGCCATCCTCTGGTTCTGGGCTCTTCCAAGGGCACTGGGGTCTCCCAGCTTCCAGCATTTGACTCATGTTCTAGACCATGGAATTTAACAATTAAATGACATTGTATCCTTTGCTAGTGGTCTCTCTCTTGGCTTGTTTCTTCGTTGAATGTGCACTCTGGGAGGAAGGGAAGGTGTTACTTCTGGCCAGTGGGGCAGTGATCAGCACTTAGTAAGTCCCTCCATAAGCACTTTATTGACAGAGACCATACACTGTGGTCGACAGTTTACTTCCTCCAGGTATGTCTCCTCTCTCCAGCAAGACCGCAAGTTCTGTGCAGTGGCTACCATGGTAATGAACACTTACTGATCTGACCTTTTACTATTTTATTTAGAATTTTTACTTGGATAACAGAGGAAAAAAAGAAAGCAAGGAAACAAATGAGAAAATGAATGCGAAGAACAAGGAGTCCTTGCTTGAGGTATGTTTAATTCTGTAGAGTAGAATAAAAGAGAGTTAACTGTATTTTTAAATGATTTGCTTCTCAGAACAATGGGCGATTCTGAGACACACTGAAATTTTAACTTGGGGTTTTAAAATCAAATCATTACTAAATTATAGCTATTTAGACAATTAAACTGGTTCTTGGAGTCAGTTGTTTAAAAGTTTTGCTTTCGACAATATATTTTACTCTTCATGAAGCTGGATTCATAATTCTTGACTAAAAGACATGAATCCACATAAAACTCATCTCTGACCATATATTTCATTGCTTATGTGCTCCACAGAAGTCAGGCATGACTGCTTTGCAGTGAATTCTAAGGTGCCCTTCCAGCAGCCAGGTGTGGTAGAAAGTATGAGACTGCAGTTAAGAGATCTGATACGAGCTTGGCTCTGCCTGTTGAAGTTCATGTGTTATTGGGCAAGTCCAAGAACCTTGGTTTCCTGTATTGTATTGAATTATTACAAAGACTTAGGGAGGCAGTGGAAGCACAGCATGTAAAGTACGGTACACATTTCTGGATTATCACTTACAGGGCTATGTTCCAGAAGTTCATTTGACGGTTGATTTTCTGAAACTTCTAATGAGTTTTCACATAGCAACTTTGCTCAAAATCGAGGCTCTCTTCCCCGACCCTAATGCGGATGCGTGCCAGATCACAGGTCATAAATGGGCATAGGAGTCCCAGGCAGGTTTTTGTTGTCCCCGACAGCATGTTGACCTTCTCTTGAGTTAGGAGATTTGGGGCTTCTCTTGAAAACTCAGAAGACCTTTTGACACCTTGGCCCACATTCCCATCTGGAGCCAATTCACTGATGCTGAAGGGCACCCTCTCCCAGGCACCAAGGCCTGCCCAGACCCCTGCACAGGGTTCTAGCCCTGCCGGCTCTCCCAGCCCTGTTCCCGATGGAGCAGGCCCTACAACCTTGCTGCCTCGCACTCCCAAGGTCCTGGAGACAGGCCACAAGTTTTGGTTCCTGGGACCAAGAACACAGTGGGTATTTCCCAGGGAGGCCAACGGTGGGAGTGGGGACATTCTTTCTGCATTTATCAAAGAGTCTCCAGGTTCAGTTGAGGGAGATAAAGCACCAGACATCCCCAGCAGCAGGGAGATCCAGGTTCTGAACATCCCCAGCAGTGATGGACACAGACAGACATGGAAGGGGAGTGAGCCATTTCCTGACACAGCCCTTAGCTGTTAATCAGTGCTTATTGCATCAGCAGCTGTCTGTAAATCAAGGACTGGTTATGCCTTGGTTTATACAATTGCCTGAATAGGTCTTGTTGGAAGACTTCAGCAGTTTTTCAAAAGCCGGATGGGAAAGAAAATACAAAGCATGTTATGCTGTGAAAAATCAGCATTATCCTGCTTTCGAACTTGGACCCCAAATCTGCTTGAATTTAAGAGATCATTGAAGGGCTCTCGCGTCCCCGCGCATGCCTGGGCGCCTCGGAGCCCCTGTGGTCGGGCCCCAGCCCGGGGTCTCCCACCACGCTCAAGGCCAGATGTGGAGGCACAGCTTGGAAAACAGGGACGAGAAGTGTTTTGTGCCAGACCGCTGCTGCTTATGTGCAGAGACAGAGCAGACCTCCTGGGGAATGAAATCAACATGAGAGCCTCTATGGAGACCCCAAATTTAAAGCAGGGCCTGAAAAACTTGGCTGATGAGTTTGCCAAACTTCAGGATTATCGACAAGCAGAGGCTGAAAGACTTGAAGCCGAGTAGTCGAACCTTTGCAAGCTTCTGGAAGTGGAAGGGAGCAGGACCCTGTGGTCTGTGCCCCCCATGTCCTCAGCCTGCCTTTTGTCTGTGGAAAAACATTAGCCAAAGAATAAGCTTAATCCGAGAAGTGAGAAAATGCAGAAACAAAGGAAAACAGTCAAAGGAGACCAAATAATAATAGTTTAGTCATTAAGCAAAGTCAAGGACCTTTGGTTCCTCCTCAAGGGCTATAGATCACATTCTGCGCCATATCCTGTGAGCTGTCTTGTAGATACTGAAAACCCCACCAGGTGGAAGAAGTGAACTACACGATGACCAGGCTGTAGCCATGACATAAGCTGCCACAGTTCCGAGAATCGGCCTCAAAGAAATGGAAACAAACCGACCCTGGAACTAAAGATTAACTGTACCTAAACCAATCAAGATGACGCTGATCAGACCACCGATGATCAATGTCAAGATGACCGTCAGAGCTGACTGTGCTGCTTCTGCATGTAGCCCCCTCCCTCCACCTATAAAAGCTCTTGCCCTCTGACTGTCAGTGGGGGGAGTTGGCCTTTGGATAGGCGTCTGCCCTCCCCACCGGTTGCCGGCATCCAAAATAAAGCAAACTTTCCTTTCCACCAGACTGGCCTCTTTAATAACTTTTGAGCAGCAAGCAGCTGGACCCCACTTTCGGTTACAGAACCACTGTAAAAATGAAACGAGATGACCTCAAAGCAAAATTAACAGCAAAGAATTGAGGAGCTAAACAGTTAACTCAGAACATGTCAGAGAAGCCCATCTGATTGACATGTTATTTCACAGGCAGAAACTGAATTACAGGGACTTCACTGGTGGCACAGTGGTTAAGAATCCACCTGCCACTGCAGGGGACATGGGTTCAAGCCCTGGTCTGGGAATATCCCACATGCTGCAGAGCAACGAAGCCCGTGCACCACAACTACTGAACCGGCGCTCTAGAGCCCACGAGCCACAACTGCTGAGCCTGCAAGCCACAACTACTGAGCCCGTGTGCCACAACTACTGAAGCCGCACACCTAGAGCCTGTGCTCCGCAACAAGAGAAGCCACCGCAGTGAGAAGCCCGCACACCACAACAGAGAGTAGCCCCCCTTGCCGCAACTAGAGAAACCCCACGCACAGCAACGAAGATCCAATGCAACCAAACATAAATAGATAAATAAATTTTTTAAAAAGAAGCTGAATTACAAAGAGCTACAATGTATGCTATTCGAACAACTCGTCATCTGGAGGAAACTACTGACAATTTTGAAAAGCAGAAAACAAAGAATATAAAGACTATATTTTCAGAATTTACCACTATCGAAATGTTATTTCATGGCAAAGCTTTGGACATCTCCACTACTACCTACCAAAATACACAAAAGATTGATGAAGAAGATTTAGAGGTTTTCTGAAATTCTCTGTATCCACCAGATTATTCACCCCATTTAGATATCATAAGAGCAAATTCAAAGTCACGTCTTCAGAGATCAGTGTCAGCTAAGTGTGCGTCTGGAACAGGACAGGTATCCACCTGTCGACTAAGAAAGGATCAACAAGCAGAAGATGATGATGAAGAGGATGAAGACTTAGATGTTACAAACGAAGAAAATGAAATTTCTTAAGTAAACTTTGCATTTCCATTTTCATCTTAAAGGACTCGGAATCCAGAATTACTAAAACTGTGAAACTTTATACTGGCTTGATACGTTAAACCTCAAAATGAAATCCTACTGGAAATGGAGGAATTATTAAAGGAAATTTATGCTAACCAAAAAAAAAAAGAGAGAGAGAGAGAGATTATTGACAAGGCAACTAATACCAGCTAAACTGGGGGAAACTGGGGAAGATATGAACAAAGATGTCACCCAGATCCACTACACATACATTTACTTGAAGGATGCAAAATTAAGTTTATTCTGCTTTTATGAGACTGAATGAAAGGAGGTTGAGAGTTATAAAAAACCAAAGCCAAAAATAAGTTTGAGTGTTTGAACTGAAAGATAGAATAATATGTAATTTTATTGTACTGCTTTTAAAGGAAATTTATTAAGAATTATATAATTCTATGCATGTTTTGATTTTTAAACATCTGCACCTAGAAAATGTACTTTGTCACTATCCTTTTCTGGTACTACAGTATTAATAATTGTCTTCTTTGATAAGAAACTATCCCCCAAAAAGGAAATCTTGCCATTTTGGACAACATGGATGGAACTTGAGTGCTAAGTGAAATAAGTCAGACAGAGAAAGACAAATAGCTGTATGTCTCATCTATGTGTGGAATCAAAAAACAAAAAACCTGAAATCATAGATACACAGAACAGATTTGTGGTTGCCAGAGGCGGGGGTAGGGATGCATGAAATGGCTAAAGGGGGTCAAGAGGTACAGACTTCCAGTTATAAAATAAATAAGTCCTGGGGATGTAATGTACGGCATGGTGACTATAGCTCACAATACTGTATTGTATATTTGAAAGTTGCTAAAAGAGTAGATCTTAAAAGTTCTCATCATAAGAAAAAAAGAATGTGTAACTGCGTGAGGTGATAGATGTTAACTACACTTATGACAGTGATCATTTTGCAATATATACATACATCAGATCGTTAGGTTGTATACTGAAAACTAATACATATTCTATATCAATTGTATCTCAGTGTAAAAGAAAAGAAAATTATGCCAAAAATAAAATATTAATGTACAAATATTTTATGTATAGAATTGTATATTTTATTTTTTCCATTTACTAGCAGTGAAACAGTAATTTTTTCACTTACAGGTACAGGAATAAGTTTTCTATTTATTGACTTATAGTAACAGAAATAGACTTTATGTAATGCTTTCTTTTATAATATACCAAGATTGCACTCACAACCTTCCTTATGAAGTTGGGGCTATCGTTACTCTGATTTTGCAAGTAAAGGCACCGAGGTTGAGTCACTTGCTCAGGGTCACAGAGCTAAGTGGTCAAGAAGCCTGGAAGTCTAACTCAGGAGCTGAGACTCAACCACCATGTTCTTCCTGTCTTTTGGCAAATGGTATGCAGTGTCAATATATGCATTCAGTCAAAGCTGTAGACAAAACGATTTTTAGCTTGAAGTCTAGTTGGCCACAGTTTGTTTAAATGTGAACAAAATATGTGTTTTATCTTTCATGGGTTTTATATCGTTGGAATCTCAATTTCAGGAGAGTTTTTGTGGAACATCCATCATTGTGCCAGAACTAGAGGGAGCTCTTTATTTGAAAGAAGATGGGAAGAAATCCTGGAAAAGGCGCTATTTTCTTTTACGAGCTTCCGGAATTTATTATGTTCCCAAAGGAAAGACTAAGGTCAGAAAAAATATATATGCTTTTGCAAAAAGGCATTTCATGAAAGTGAAAGTAAAGAAATCCTCAGGTGGTAATTTAAATACATTCTACTTTGCTGTGAGATTCATGTTACTACAATGTTTATACAGATACATATCCTATTAGGACAGAATTACAGAAATCCTGAATCTTTCCACCGCTCTCTCTTGAAGGTGAAGAGTTTTATCTACTTTAAAGTCAGGTTTCAGAAATTATGACTGAAGCACTTTTCTAGAAATTAATTTGTTTCTTCACATATCGATCTTTGAGGACTTTTCTCCCCCCTTTTTACTCTATTGTTCTGTAGTCATTACAGTAAAACTTCTTTTATCTGGAATCATAATGGTATTAGAAGTCTTGATAGATTTTAATTTAGATTTTAGCTTTTATAACTTGAATATTTAAATTGTTCTCTGAAGTGTATTATATGCATTTCCCTGCCTAATTTAGCAGAGTATCTTAGATATCATTTCACTTCTACTTGGTGATTTAGGATTATTGCCTCAAATCTACAAGCACATAGCAAATTTGTCTTCTTTGAAATATAATTTTAACTATCATCTTAACTCTTAGCTTTTTCTAAGACCTTTCTTAGAGGATGGCCATTTCCATCTTTTGCTCACCTTTGCAAAGTTGTAGTCTGTCTCTCTTTCTATATCTGGAGTAAGCCAAAGCATCTTGCCTTCACTGCCGAGTCCAAGGCACCCCCGCAACGGCATATTTTCAAATTGCAGGCTGCTTCTAATAAGGCTTGACCCACATCCCTTGCAGGTGAAGTCATAGTGACTATCCAGGGCTATTCCCACTACTTAGAAGACTGTCATCTCTGTGGAATGCAGGAGAGCATTATGGGAAATTCTTGGTCCAGAGCAGCTACCACTCCTATTTTGTCTCAATCTTAGAATTCATACTTTTCCCATCTGTGCTATCTTCATTCCAGTCCCAAACGTGGGGGGCATAACAGTTGACCCACAGATTATTTTATTTTAGAGATGTTATGTCTTTGGCATTTACATATAAGTGAGACATACAAGCCTATCAGAAACAACACACTTAGGGACAAAAATTAGAAGCATTCACATTGGAGTTGGACAGGCATCCTTTCTGTCTCTGCTGCCATTAACACTGATGGAGGAACTAGCCAGGAAGTCAGGAAAAAGAATAACAAGTATAATTACTGGAAAAGAAGAGGCAAAACTCTCTTTATTCACAGTCAACATGATTGTCTACCAGACAATTTGACACTCAACTGAAAAACTTAAGAGTTTGGTCCCAATGGGCCAAATAAACATACCAAATAAGAAATTGTTTTCCTTTATATAAACAATATGTAAATTAAATATGCTGCAAAAGATTCCATGCACTGCAAGAACAAAAAAAATATAAAATACCTGACAATAAACTTAACAAGAAAGGTTCAAGATCTTATATGGCATAAAATAGGAAATTTAATAAAGGAAATGAGTTAGAACTGAATAAACAGAAATGTACAATGTTGCTAGATGAAAAGATACTAATTCTCCCCCCAGTTTTTCTATATATTCAATTCCAATAAAAAAATTTCAATAGGATTCGGGCTTCCCTGATGGCGCAGTGGTTGAGAGTCCGCCTGCCGATGCACGAGACATGGGTTCGTGCCCCGGTTTGGGGAGATCCCACATGCCGCGGAGCGGCTGGGCCCGTGGGCCATGGCCGCTGAGCCTGCGCGTCCAGAGCCTGTGCTCCGCAACGGCAGAGGCCACAGCAGTGAGAGGCCCGCATACC